CCTCTTTAACCTGTTCTTACCAGCATCCCTGAGCTGCAGAGCCATCAGGCTGCAATACAGTGAGCCAGCACTCATTCTCCTTGGCTCTGGTGTGTCTGAGAACACACCGCTGCCAAAAACAGCATGAGAGGCTCTTGTGCTCAGCCCACGGAAGCTACAAGTGACACTGGTGGGTAACAGCTGAGAGGGCACTCAACCACAGCACCAGCAGGAAGTTCTCTCTGGGAAGGAGTGGGAGGAAACAAACTGCTTTGACTTCATCGTCCTTCTGGCACAGCAGAGTATGAGAACAGGACAGTACATCTCCTCCACACTTAAAGCGATGGCTTGCTCAGGGAGCTGGCGTGCAGTTTGCTGGGCACCTCTGGAAGCTTCCTGTGTTAGCCTCAGCCACTGAGGGCACACACTGCCCTCAGGGGCAGGACTTAGCCTAGGAGAGGGAGTAGCTCCATCTGCGTGATATGCAAGTGAAAATGAAGTATTTTCTTACTTTCTTCTCTGTAAGACACAGCAGCAGGATACTCCAACTCAGTACGCTGAACTGTTGCTTACAGGAAGCAGCCAGCACAGTCCTCAAAGGAATTTCTGCATTTCATAAACTGCCTAATTGCTGAAGGTTAGAAGGGGGAGAGAATAAAAAGTCAAATGTGCCAAAGCTGTGGCCTTGTCCAGTCCCCCTCCTTGCTCCTCCCTGGAGCAAGGTAGTGCAGGGACACGAGGAACAAGCACGTGAAATGCTAACACAGTCACTGAGGTCCATGCTTGTCAAGAAAAGAATGCACACTCCCGCTGTGCTCAGGTGTTCTCTGACCTGAGTTCCATCTGTCCAAACAAAGCCTATGGCATCTCCTTGTGATGCAGCTTAAGGACAAGACTCTGTCACCCAGCAAGAATGAGCAAAAGAGAGAGGAAGGGCTCCCTGCATGGAGGATGGTGTCTAAGAGTGCAACAGCCTGGGGCCTGTTGCTTGATGCTCCCACCCTACACCCAAGCAACCTGTGCACAAAGTAAAAATGCTGCACACACCGCATTTGCAGTGATAAACTTCTGTGTGGCTGAGAGGACACACAGATTTCTGTGTTTCTGCAGATAGGGATGCCAGATAAGAGCAGCAGAGCTGGGGGAAAGGCACACAGTGAAATCCACTCACTAGAGACCGACCAAGCGGACCAGGAGCCAGGAAGCAGAACTGGGCTTCCCCTCCCCACCCAGACTATGCTGTGCTTTCATTCCCTTTGCAGAGGAACATGCCCTGCACCAACAGCATCAGCAAGCTTGTGCTTTTCTGGTTCCTACCTCGTACTCAATCGCAAGGTCTGTGTGATCATCGATGTCCACTTTGGCCATCACCACTTTCCCCTCCTGCTTGGCCACCATCTTCTCTAAGCGGGGGCCTAGGATCTTGCAGGGACCACACCACCTAAGGAGAAAGAGGAGAGGACATACAAAGAGGCAAGTGCAGCAGCAGCTATAGAAGCCTGGCTGGGACCTTCAGCACTGTTTCACCTCTTCTGACCTCTGTGCCACAGGACAGTGGTGGCACTTCAACACTGAGTGCACACATTAACCAGGACCAGCAGCCTTCGCTGTCCTCCATACACTTCTCATCACTTGTCCCTCCTCTCACGTGCTGAGCTGTTACCCTGCTGATCACATCACCACCACGGTGCAAGCATCACAGTCAGGTGCATTGGCTCTTGCTGGTTATCAAACCATAGACTTCAGCTCCATATGGCAACCTGACCTAGTGCCAGATCTGGAGGCTGTGGCAGGGGGGTTGGAACTTGATGATCCTTGGGGTCCCTTCCAATACAATCCATACTATGATTCCACGATATGCACTGCACGGCTTACAGAAATCCCCCATTAGCTGCAAAAATTAGAGATGCAGCAGCTGCAGAAAGACCATGGCAAACATGGCAGATTTTGCAATGTTCTGTACAGGGAAAACACTCACAGCTTCCTCTAGCTGCACTGGTAAGGAAGATGTGAACTTCCTCAATTGGGGGAAAATGTGAATGAAAGCTCTGAGTGCCCTTTCCATCTAAAATTGATGCTGTGGTGAGATTTGTTAGCCTCCCTCCACAAAAGGTTCTAGGCTTTCAGTTATTCGTCCTCTTCTCCCTGGATGATCCCTGTTAATGTAAATTTTGGCTTGTTCAGAGCAGTTTGAGGGCTGTTTTAACATCTGTTTGCCCAGAATCAGCCACAGCTGGCTCATATGACAGCACTACAGGGAAATGGAAATACTTGAATAAACTAAGGGAATCAGTATTGTTAATGAAGCAGATTACATCTAGGAATATTTTTACTGGCAAGAAAGTGACAGTGTTTTTACTGACCACAAATGCTGCTACTGGTAAAACAAAGCTGTTGCCAGTTGTTGGCATTTGTTGTTGAGAGCCCTGGTTCAAGAGCACAGAATCACAGAATGGTAGGGGTTGGAAAGGACCTTTGGCAATTTCCCAGTCCAACCCCCTGCAATTGCAGGTTCCCTAGAGTGAGTTGCACAGGAAAGTATCTAAAGAGATCTTTAATATCTCCAGTTTGTGCCCATTACCCCCTGTCCTGTCACTGCACACCACTGAAAAGAGCCTGACTCCATTTATTTGACTGCTACACTCTAAATATTTATAAACAGTGATGAGATCCCCCTTCAGCTTTCTTTTCTCCAGAGTGAACAGTCCCAGGGCTCTTGTACAGGAGATGCTCCAGGCCCCACATAATCTTTGTGGTCCTTCGCTGCGCTCTCTCGAGATGTTCTCTGTGGTTTTTTTTGAACTGACAAGCTCAGAACTGGACACAGCAATCCAGCTGAGGCTCCACCAGGGCAGAGAAGAGGAGGATAACCTCACTTAAACTACTGGCTGCACTTTTTGTAAAGCACCCCAGGATAACGTTGGCTTTGTTGGCCACGAGGACACTTCTCACTGAGAAAACTTGAAAGCCATAATGTGATGCTACGGGAGCACACAAAGCACAGTGTGCACCCAGGGGCAGCACTATCATTTAGCGTTTTTAAGGGGGATTTCACCCCAGCAGCTAACAAAAGGTGCTATTGGAACTGCCCAAGCCCGGAGGCACCTGTTACAGGCTGACACAACACGCGGACCGAGTGACTTCGGCACGGCCACCCTGCCCTGGGGAGCTCTGTTCTCCACCGCCTCTGCAAAGCTCTGGCCTCGCTGTGCGTGGCACTTACTGCGCGTGGAAATCCACCACCACGGGCTTAGGGCTGTTCACCACCCTCTCCTGGAAGTCACCTCCGTCCTGCACGTTGAATGCGCTGCAGCGGATGGCCGAGCCGCCGAAGGTCCGGCTGGATAAGCCCTGCGGGGCCAACTGCCTGGGCCCGAGGGGCAGCGGCCTGCGTCCCAGGGCCAGCAGCCTCCGCAGCGCCAGCCTCTGGGCCATCTGCGAAGAGAACGGAGGGGACGTGAGGAGACCCCGCAGAACTCCGAGTTCCTCCCGCCAAGCCGCAGCCCCACCGCCTGCACGGCCAACAACCCCCGGCCCGCACCTTCCTGGCACGGAGGTGACCCCTGCCCAACCCCGCTTCCGTCCAGCGGCCCCGCCCCCCAGCACGCTGATTGGCCTACCTAGCCGGAGCGGTGGGCTCTTACTGGCTGCTGCGGCTGTCAGCTAGGAAGGAGGATGTTGCACCGCAAGGGCGGATCCAGAGCGACGATTGGCGGAGAACAACGCCAATCAGCGCTCAGGTCCCACCCCCGCCGCGGAGCGCGCTTTTCGCACGTGGCTCGAGGAATGACGGCGCACCTCTGGGTTAACGTCACGATTTTTTTTGTTTTAAGCTTCGTAGGAAGAACAGTGCCATACAAAACGCGTTCGTTAGACAAGAGCGCACAGCAGGCAGTAACTCACTTTAACACAACTTACACCGAAGTACAGCTCTGCAGGACAAGAATGGTTTCGGTGGGTGCTCCTCTCCTGCGGCTGCAAACACAGCGCCCCTTCCAAAGGGATCCTGCCTGCCAGCTCCAAGGCAGCGGGGTAGAAACCAGAGCTGCCGTGTTTGATCAGCAGTGCATGAATAACACAGACCTGCATTCCCTTCTCAGGATCTACTGGGCACCACAGAACCAGGTGGCAGCAAAGCCTCTGACATCGGCCACTGGATACAACCCTGGGAGAAGTGCACGGAGCACAATGGAAGAGTAAGCGGGCAGCATTTCGTAGGCAATTTTCTAAGGAGAACCACAATTTAAGGCAACGCATTCACTGTGGATTTACAGTCTGCAGATCTCTTGTGGGAATTTGGGGAGGTGAGAGAACATCAGGAGCATAAGCATCAGCATACACGGCACACAGCTGACTCCCAGCGACAGCCAGCTGACCTGGCTCAGCTGCTCTTATCATTCCCTAAACGAAGCCAAATAAAAAGCCCACAGTGCTAAGGCTGTAGCAAGGAGCTTCTGATGCTGATCAACACCAACATCATTTCTCCTGTCCTGCATGTCTGAGCAGGTATGAACATCCTTAAGAAGCAGCACCTCTAGCAAGTACAGTACATGCAGATAGGAGCAAGAACTCTTTTATCGTCTCATCCACTTCTTCTGCTGCCCAGCCTCTGCAAACACAAAGCAGAGGTGGTAAGAGCTGGAGTTTCACTGAAACAGCTGGACTCAAAGGATTGTGAGAGCTTTAGGTACAGCCCTACCATGATCCAGGAAGCACAAATACAAAGGGGCATTCTTTCAGGTGCTATAGAAGTGGAAGATGTGCGTGGAGATAGAAGTCTATTCTCTCTCACTGTCTCTATTGCCTAGAAATCACATAGACTCAAGGTTGAGCTCAAAACTTCTCCTACTTTGCAACTCCAAGGCCTTGGAGAGAACCCCAGGAACCCACAGACTGACAAATGCAAACAGTAGGCAAAGAGGGAGCAATAAAGTGCAGACAACCAACCAGTCAATGCTTGTTAGACTTCAAGATGACTGGAGGGGATAAAAAGAAATAAGACAATGAGCACTTTAACAACATCAAAGTTCACCCAAAACTTTCTTGATGGAACATAGTGCAAATAGAAAAAATATTGGTCATGCTTTGTAAAACACAGGGGTAACATTTCAGGTTTCTTGGTGTGGGAAGAAAAAAAATGTTAGGACAGGAGGGTCAAGCTCAGTGTAATTGTCTCAGTCCTAGGTGTTCTAAGCAAGCTATTCACCCCTGCAGAGGGAATGTTCTTCTGAATTGCTCTGCAGGAAGTGACAAATTATCCTATTCATACCATAACTAAAAGCCACCACCTCTCTCCACTCAAGCTTCGTCGCTGCCCTAACTCAAACGCAGGGAAACTGCCATGAAGTTTGTTTGGTTTGAAGTACCACGTCAGGATTCAGCAACGCAAACAAATCTTCAAGTACACAGAGCATCCAGCGACCTGAAAGCTTCCACCAGGCTGAAGCAGAACATAAGCCAGTTCCCTCGGAAGAGGCAGGTGACAGGAATTCCTAAACTCTCCCTTTTTCGACCCCTGGACGTCGCTGTAAATTACTGGTTTACTACAGAAACACAAACACCATCTTTAAGCAACTCTGAACTCCGCCAGGACAAAGCAGGAGCCTCAGCATCACTGGATTCCAGGCTCTGACTTATCCTTCAGAGCACGTCGGTCCTTTTTGTAACAGCAAGATCTGGGCAGGTCTTTGGCAATTCATGATCAGTGGAAGGGGCTGGGATGTAAAAGGCGTGTAGGAGAGGGAAGAATCCCGCCGTGGATCCCTGTTACAGTATTGTCACAACAGCACCTGTGGATTTCCACATGGTGTGAGAAATTCTAAAATTCATCCTTGGCATGAACAAAATGGTGCAGAGGACGGAGTGGTATGACATGATCTCTCAGCAACTGGTCTTGGGACCCTTGGCGGCTGTCAGGGAGTTTGTCACCTGAGAAGTCCATGACAGCATGATCCTCCAGCAGGCCAGCATCCACCGCGTGACGCCGGAGCCTCTCATTCCCAATAAGCCCCTGCATTCTCGCATACCCCTGCTGACAGAAGGGAGGCAGCTTCTGACGTGTGAGGGCAAAGAGGAAACAGGATTCTACCAGGAAAAACATTTTAAAAAAAAAAAAAAAAATCAGATTCACCAGAGAAACCATTTAGAGAACAATTCACACAAGTTCCTGAAGACACTTAGAAAAGAAGGCAGAAAGGATCAGGGAAGAGTGGAGTTTCCCACCTGGAGCTTTGCACCAGGGTTGCAGCAGCGTAACTGACTCAATGCTGCATGTATGAGGAGATGTATACTGGAGGTGCCAATCCACACTGACAGAAAAAAACATTTGAGTTTTCAGCCCTCTGTCATCATATTCATGCCAGAGAACTGGCTGTGTGCCATGTTCCCCCATTAGGTTGTCAGACCAAAAAAGGAGGCAGCAGAGGTTCTCCAGCTTCCATATCCCACCATCCCCATTTTCACTCATCTCCTGCTGGAAACAATCCCACCCAGGGTAAATGAGAACAGATCAGACATCTGATGGCAGAAAGGAACATCTGGATAACGGAAGAACAAGGCAAACTACAGCCAGAAAGGGGACTGAACCAAATCTCGTATGCTCATGAATCCAGGTGCAGTTGGGTCAATCTTTTTGTGGAGGTGAGCAAGAGCAAAGGCTATCTGGGAATGTACACACAGCACCAGCACTTTCTCCTGTTTGTACAGCTATTTATGAGGGTGGATAGTGATAGGACAAGGGGGAATGGTTTTAAACTGAGACAGGGGAGGTTTAGGTTAGATTTTAGAAGGAAGTTTTTCACACAGAGGGTGATGAAGCACTGGAACAGGTTGTCCAAGGAGGCTCTGGATGCCCCATCCTTGGAGGCATTCAAGGCCAGGCTGGATGTGGCTCTGGGCAGCCTGGTTTGGTGGCTGGTGACCCTGCACACAGCAGGGGGTTGAAACTGGATGATCTTTGTGGCCCAGGCCATTCTATGATTCTGTGATTCTACTGTCTGGGGAGTGCATCAGAAAGGTGTCACTGTGAGTGTCAGTGCATCACAGGGAAATCTCAGTTATCTGCAGAAGAGATCACTCCTGTCACACGTCCATCCCTCGCATCCCCCCTCCTCCTCCTGCATCCTCGACCCCGGGGGCTCAAATTACCTGCAAAGAAATTGCGCAGGTCAGTGCCGAGGCAGTTCTCCAAGAAGCGCCTCAGAGGCAGGATGTGAGCGTTTGGGGCTGTCCAGTCTGTCAGAAAATCCTCCACAATGTGATGGATGGCATCTGGGCGGGGGAGAGGCAAATCTGGGGGATGAAGTCTCATCTCACGCTCTGCCAATAGAATATTAAGGGAATCTCTCAGAATCAAAACTGCATTAAAAAGGGCTTGGAAAGCAGAAAGCAACTACAGCAGCTGTTCAGTTTTTGTTCTGACCTGCTAATCCCTACCTCACTTTTATTTACAATCCCGTGTTAGCTTTGTCCTGAAGAGCCCTGCCACTGCAGAGCTGCCCCTTATCGCTGACCACAGTGTTTCCTGTCATTTCACTTTTTGCTCCTGTTCCCTCCGGGTAGAGACTGCCAGCCAGGCTGAATTGTGTTCAAGTTTTAATGCTGCTACCAATCATACTCCTTTCTGGGGAAGTCAGGGCAGACCCTGAACACCAGGCTTCTGGAGATGAAGATTCAGAACACGCATTTCCCAAGGAAATGTGTTCTGAGTGAGTTTGCTGGATAAAATATTCATCTGCAAATGTTTTGTTTCTGGCTGCTTCAATCACTACTTGACCTCTCGGACTTGATGGGGCCACAGAAAGCAACTTCCTTCTGGCAGGAACACAAAACAGCCCAACTCTGACTGTCAGGACTCCGCAGAATGCAAGCACTGCAGGCTGCAAAGGCAGGCAACATTCATCACTGCCTCATGACTCTGGAGACAGCATATCTGTTTATTCATCTTCTCCAATGTGAGGTCTCCAGTATAACCTGCCCCATTTTGGCAGGACTAATGGAAGTTTCTTTTCTTCAGCTCACACAGTGGCAGCAAGCGCCTCACAAGATGAATGTGAAGGTAGTAGAGGAGGAGATTTGCAGCATGTTCCAGTCTTGCCCCATACCCACTCTGGCTCTCAACTACCTTTTTCTCTATTTTGCTCTTATCAGGTAATTAACAGAGAGGCTACAAAGCTTACCTGTAGGGAGGCGCTTGTAGTAGTAAATAACAGGGTGCAAGAAGTTGGACTGCCAGGCATGTTGTGCCTCTCCCACAGCTCGGTTGTAGTAGAAGACATCCTTGTCATCTCCTGAGAAGTTCCTCCCGTACTCCATGACGACAACAAACAGCCCTGCAGGGGCTTTTCTCCCTGTCTGTGTTTCCAGCTCAGCCAAGATTCCAACTGGGTATTCTTCCAGGTATTCAAACACTGTGGCATTCCTACGAATTGCAATCACAACCGTAAGACCTCTGCTGGAGAAAAACCACCTGGGATCCAACACTCCCTCAGCAGATTGAGGCTAAGGCCAAAGAGCCATCAGGTAGTTATCATTTTTAGTCACTACAGATTTGGGCTGGGCTTGATGCAGAGCTTACAAAGGCTGCATATACTGTTACAAGACTTCATTCTACTCCCAGACTCTGAGATTCCTCTAACAGTGCCCAAGGAAAGTTTTTCCCTAGGGAGAGTGAAAGAGAACAAAAACTCCGAGCCTAGCAGAAATGCCTGGACCATCTCAGACTTTTAAGAGGAAATAATTTGCAGAACTGGGGACAGCAGCACCACTCATGGCAGCGGTACAGGTTTTGAGGTATCTGCCTGTGTGACATCAATGGCAGCAACGTAGCAACTTTTGTGGTGGCACCAAAGGCAGCGACAGTGAAGAAAAAGAAACGAAACAGTGGAACACGGTGCTGGGAATAATTGCTCACTCACTCACTCTCTCAGCAGTATGATGTCAGCCAGGACACTGAACATCTGGTAGAGGCCTGAGGCCTCGTTCACCCGCTTGATGATGGAATTGGTCAGCTGTGTAATAGGGTAGACTGCGGATGGCCAGGGGACACCATGGTGACGGTTTTCCAATAGGCGGTGGACTGCACGAGCTGAGACATTGAGAGAAACAAAGACAGCTTATTTAAAAATCCAGCCTTGCACATTTGGAAAAAAAAGAAAAATCCCACTGCTCTGCTGCACAGAGATCCTGGCAGGATACAATAAAGAAGCTTAACTGCTCATCCCGCCCAGATTGCTACCAGCTGCAGTGGAGATGCCCTCAGAAAGCTGATGTGATGCTGAGTGGCTGGTAAGGGGGCAAGGGGTCCCTGGGGTATTTCATTTCTTCTGAGCAGCTCTATAATGATAAGGATGAACGCACACACAAACAGAAATTCTCCCTGCTGCTGAAAGCTGCTGGGTTTTAACACGGCAGCACAGACCTCTCACCCACAGCCTGCCACGAGGCACAGCATCTGGCAGGCAGAAATTTATTGTTACATAAATAAGAGACGGCGGGCCAGAGAGACACAAGACAAAACAAAGACAGACAATCAAAGACTTCAGATATGACCCCAAGGCGCTTCCATGGCCTCTCCTCCCCGTCAGACTATGCAGCTGCATCTTGGCTATGTTTTGTTATTCTTACTGCCAGCACAAGATGAAGGGTCACCCTTTTCTATCTAGCACTAAGCTATGAATTGTTCTTTGGAAAGCAGCACTGAACCCCAGCCCCTGCCCTTTCTATAAGCCCCAGTACTCACTTGTGTACCGGAAGCCATGGATGAAACCCCCAGCAGATTTCCTGAAGTCAACAGAGTGGCTAGCAGTGCCAAGAACAAAGAGCCCTCGAGTGCCTCTGGACTCGTAATTGGGTTTGATCTGAGGATATTTGCTTTTATTCCCTCTTCCTGGCATCATTCTAAGGGATCTGATGTGCAAAACAGAATAGCAAGCTGTCAAGAAGGGCAGGGGTGGAAAAAGAAAGAGGGCTTCTGATAAGGCACATATCACACGGCAGCCACAGCAAGACACTGCTCCATGTTTCTGTTGCCTTCAGTGGAACTCACTACTTTCCCAAGAGCATAAGGTCAGCAAGGATCCTCCAGAAGAAAAGGGCACACCTCTCAAGGTAGCTGTGGCCACCATCAAATACCAGCCTGAACCACTGACAATGAACTTCAGGAGATAGCAAAGTTAGCAATACCATTTCAAGCTGAAGAATATATTAGGATACAAAGGTGAAACAAAAATTGAGTCTTCAGAAGGAAAAAAAAAAAAAAAAAAAAAAAAAAAGCAGATGAAGCTTTTCTGTAGCAATCTGCATTTGTGCCATCCTCACTCCGTTGAGCTATGAAGACATAAACTTTTCCTGGAACATCCAAGGCCCAGCACTGCCACCTGCTCACCCCTACAGCCTGTCAGTCAGAGGGCAGCACACATTCCTGCTGGGACACAAACACAGGACTGTGCAGCACCAGGTAACCTGGAGCACACGGAGGCCTGGGCAGTGCTACCAGCAGAAGAGCTGTGATCACGCTACCTGGCCTTCCCCTCCTCCTTGCCCTGGCCTGTCAGTCTCTTGCTATAAATACATTCTTCCCTAGACACTGGTTCTGCCTCACCTGTTGTAGATAGAGAAGTCAAACTTCCAGCCCAGACAGCGGATGACACGGTCATACGGCGCGCGAGTAGCAAAGTTATCCAGTTCATCCTGAGGGAGGGTGATCCCATCGATGCCTGCGCTGGTGTTCCTGTTCTCCAGGTAGAACCGAAGTGTGATGTGCAGCTTCCCATTTTTGTCCTTGACAATAGCTAGATCTTCCAGGTCACCTTCCAGAAGTCCATCCAGAGATTTCAGCTGGTACGTATCCAGTAAACCATTGTTAATTGCTCTGCAAAGAAAAGGGAATGAAGAAAGGCTAACGGGCACAGCTGGATCCAGGGCTTGGTCTCAGCCCCTGAAAATGGGATGAGCTTACCGGGTGAGCCTCAGAGCTTTGGTGACACTGCTGATGGCTGTGTCACTGATCACTGCCACTCCTGTGAGCCCTCAGCACGCTCCCCAGCGTGCCTTGTACAAATGAGAAGGGAGCTCTGCCTCCTCTGGCCCTGTTCCTGAACACTCATTAATGCCTTAATTTTCACTGCATTCCTGCTGTGTACAGCAGTGCTATTAGCCCTGCTGAAAGACAGACAGGCACAGAGGGTGTACACAGCATGCTGACAATCAGCTAGGAAGTCCGCAGCAGAACAATTAACCACATGGGGGTCTCTGACCCCCAGGCTCTCTCTGATCAGAGAGTACTCTGCCCTTGTGTGATGCAGACAACCTCTGCTTGCAATCAAGAGAGTTCAAAGGACCAATTCAGGAGCCAGCACTTTTTAATGACACAGAATCCATGGGAACATCTTCCTGTTTCATACTACTCAGCAGCTGCAACCTGGGCTGCTACAAACCAAGGACCTACAGGTAAAAGTACTCATGTTTCCTCCTCCTCCTGGTCTCCTGAGCAAGCAGCAGCTCTCATTTGTTTTTGCTCTAGCTGCGTTAGGAAGAACAACAGTTTCCTACCTCAGATCCCCGACGTAGTGAGTAGCCCAGGAGAGGCGCACGCGGGACCGGCTCACCATGTGGATGAAATTTGTGACACCCAGAATGTTCTCTGCCGTCTCAAAGGCTGAGTTCCCTCGGCCCAAGATCAGCACGGTTTGACCGGCAAAATCCTCCGGGTTGGTAGACACCGTCTCATAACCCTCAACATACTCTGAGCCAGGGAAGTTGACCACGTTGGGGACCCACGTACCAGTGGCAACCAACAGACAGCTGCAAAAAGAGGAATAGCATTAAGGAATACACAGGAGTCACGCTGTTTTTCCATCTCACTGCTCCTAACACAGTGGAAGTGACCCCTACAGAATCATAGAATGGCCTGGGTTGAAAAGGATCACAATGATCATCCAGTTTCAACCCCCCTGCTATGTGCAGGGTCGCCAATCACCAGACCAGGCTGCTCAGAGCCACATCCAGCCTGGCCTTGAATGCCTCCAAGGATGGGGCATTCACACACTGGCCAGGTTGACTGGTGCTGCATACATTCCAATTTCAGTAAAACTTCCCCCTGGCTTCACCTAATGACTTGCTCCTACCCTTCCTGTCATTACGGTGACGAGGAGGGCTCTTAATGGCATTGTGTGTAGCAGAAGTCAGTGTGGACACAGTACTTACAAGCTCCACTTATTTCCTAACTTTCAGTTCTTTGTAGATGTGCAGCACTACTACACATGCCGTATTATTAACATGTTTCACAGGTGGATGATAAGCTGCATAAAAATTACTTTGTTTTAAAATGTGTGCTGCCTTTTCATGCAATGGAACAAAAAAAAAAATTTTAAGAGGGATTTTAAAACGCTATCAAATTTATATGAATAGGACTTGCAACAATGCTAATATTTAACACCAAACGTAAACACAGCAGTGTTTTCATAGCTCTCTGTAAGAACGCTTGCCCAAGTATTACAGGAATTACTGCAATTGATAAGGAAGCAGAAAGCAGCAGAACTGAGAGGCAGTGTCTGCTCGCACAGCTCCTGAGAGCAATTTGCTGACGGTGTGTGGGTGTCCCATGCTGAGCTCTGCCCCCTCCAAGCCTGCCAGCCAGCGCACCTTCAAGTGACAGTCAGCGTGACCGGCTGTCGTAGATCTGAGGCTCTCAAGAGAGCTGAGAAATACACTCCATATGCTCACATGAGTAACTCCAAGAGGATTTTTAAGAACATGGTTGAATAGCAGTGTGGGATGTGTGTTTGAGCATGACAAGAGGCATTTGGGGAAGCTTATAAGCTTCACTGGGACTTAAAATAGTAGAATTCTTAAGGTCGGAAAAGACCTTTAAGATCAACTAGTCCAACCATCAACTCATCACCACCGTACCTGCTTTCTGCCAAAGACAGAATTGAACATCAGAGACTGCGTGTCTTGGGTTGAAAAGAACCTGAAATCACCCAATTCCAGCACAGCCCCCTCAGCCCCATTGCTCCCCAGCTCCCTCCTGCTGCTTCTGAATTGAGCAAGGGCCTCAACAAGGTGGGCCACGCTTTTCAACTCAGCTTTTTCTAAATGTGTGTGGATTAACTGAGGTGAAAACAATCCACTCCACCTTATGTATCGACCAGCCTGCGCCTGATCCACCAGCCCCTCAGGTGCCTGATGTGAAGCATCACCGAGAGAAGCACCACGCTGCCAGGAGCTGCTACTTCTCCCCAGCACCCCGCTCACCGTGGCGATGCTCCAGCCTCGGGCTAGGCTGCAAAATCTCCACTTCAGCAGGCGCTCAAGCAGGCTGCGATCAACCTGAAGCAGGGGGCTCGGACAAAACAACCTTTGATTACTCCACAAACGAAAAGCCACGTGGAGAGCCGCGTGCCCTTTACCTGCACTTGTAGCTCTGCCTATTCTGGTCGCTCAACACAAAGTAGTGGCCGTTCCACGCTCGCGGATCCTTCTCCAACGTGACGTGAACGATGGCGGTGTCGTATCGGACGCGCAGCCCTAAGATGGTGGCGAAGTCCTCCAGGTAGCGCACCATGGCGTCGGCGTGGGGGAAGAACTGCCTCGAGTAGCGGCGGAACAGCAGGCGGGGCTCGTGGCTGAGGAGCGAGTTCCAGTCATGCCGCAGGTTGAACTCGCTGTTGGACTTGCCCGTGTGCCGCTTATTGATGCTGATCAGCTTGCGGTGCCGGGGGTAGATGGCGAAGAAGCTGCCGGGCGCGTGGCTGCGCTCGAACACCACGTAGTCGCGGCCGGCCCTCTGCAAGAAGTAGGCGGCCTGCAGGCCGGCAGGGCCGGCTCCTAGCACGCAGTAGTCGTGGTAAAGGAAGGCGGCAGCGCCGGCCGCACACAGGGCGCTGAGGACGAGGCGCGGGAAGAGGCCGCGGGCCATGGCGGGGTGGCGGCTGCCGGGAGAGGAGCGGGAGCGTCGTGGCGCGCAGCACGGCCAACATGGCGGCACCGCCGCCCCTCAGCGTCCGGCGCGGGCCGGCCCCGCCCCTGCCGGCCGCTAGCCAATCGGGACCCGCCGTTCCTCACCTACCTGCCGCTCCTCGCCCTCCCGCCCCACCCTCACCCAATGGAGTGCGGGGCGTGGCTGCCCGAACGCCATGCGCGCCGCATCCGGCCGCGTCCCGCCCGCAGCCGCACCTGCACCATGGACCCGGCCCGCGCAGTTCCTCCCGCGCCGCCGCGCGCGCACGTCTGCGAAGGGGAAGGGAAGCTGCGGGCGCGCGCCGGGCCCGCCACAACCCCGCGCCGCGTCACGTGACTCCGCCTCCGCGCTGGACCACGTGGCCGAGGGCGGGGACGGACCTTAAAGGAGCAGGCACCCCGCCCGCTGCTCCTACTACCACGTGGTCGGCCACCCTCCCCCTCTCCCGCTGCTCCACACAGCACACGCAGAACAGCCGTGCAGAGAAAAGCCACTTTTTATTCCGGCTTCTTTGCCCAGCCGGCCATTTCCAGCGGATCCTGGTGCAGGGAGGTGCCCAGTCGCAGTCCCTTGGTGCTCAGCTCTCTTCTTCTGCAAGAAAAAGCACGGTGGGGCCGCTGCGGCAGGAGGAAAAAGCCACATCCCCACCCTAATTGAAACAGGATCACTGCTCCTCCCTGTGCTGTAGGAATGCCCCAGGCAGCAGGAGTGGGCAGCCTGCACTCCCCTGCTGCCAGATTTGTTATATGTCACACAGTGTAGTCACCGTTTCTGAAACTGGAGTAAAAAAAAAAAAACTAAAAATCCAAATCCAGAAGAACTCAAGGCCTGCCGCTGTCAGCATGAATTCCAGTCCTGGGCAGGCTGTATACAGCTAGCTTGCAAGCTTCTTTTCCTGTGCTCTGGGCCCATACCTCTGTGATACATTCAAGCCCTCCCTCCCTGTCCATGTGTAAGCAAAACCTGACTTCTTGCTCCCAGCTTCTTCTTCCCATTCAACATTCCAACTCTTCCCAATACCCTTTTTCCACCACATACTAAAGCATCCTTGGGGCTCCACCTTCCCCAGCCCCATTCCTTTTGTCATTCCTCCACACTAGCTCTCATCCTCACCCTACATTCCCCCTTTCATCCAGATCACTTAAAAGCACAAACACCTGAGTATACTACAAACCTTCCTCTTCCTCCTCCTCTTCTTCATCCTCCTCATCCTCGTCTGAGCTGAAGGTACCATCAGGCAAGCTGTAGATTCGGATCACCTGTTTGTTGGGGTCTTTGAGGATGAGGTACTTCCCCTCATCCAGCTTCATGCAGATGTCGATGACGCAGCGCAAGATGCCCCAGGCATTCTCTATGCTCAGGTTGATCTGGCTGGCAAACTCATTGGGCTTAAACTGCTGGGTGCCCAAAATCACATGGCGGGCAGAGTCCTTCACATGGTAACGGGACACGTACCTGGTGGGCAAGAAGGAAGAGAGGAGTAGCAGGGGATTAATTTTGGCCACCAAAGTGACATTAAAAAAAAAAAACAGCATGATTGGTTTGCTTTTGTCTTCTGAGAAGGAAGAACCATCCTGACTCTCCAACACTGAAAACTAAAAGCATCTCTTGGCCACTAGCTGTTGCCATCAGTACCACAGCTGGAATCCTCCCACTATCCCAGATCTGACAGAGCAGGAGAGAAGAATTAGTGCCACAGATAAAAACTAAGCAATCGCTTGTGAGTCTAGAATTCAGATACCTCATACCCAAAAACAGAATACAGAATTGCAGAACTACCAGGATTGAACCCTTTTAATTACCCTCAGCTATTATTTTCATTTACAGATAAGACGATATATGCTCAGTGTTGGTGCTGTGCAAAGAAACCACAGGAAAAGCACTCTGGTCTGGATTTCTGCAAAACTGGATGGCTGGCAGAAGGCAGCACACACAGCAGCTCCTTCAGGCCATCAATAACAGGGCACAGACTCAATTGGTTTTAAACTGACAGTTCCAAACAGGCTGTGGTGAAACCTCCTCCTCCACTTGAATTCTCAGTAATGGTGCACTGAGGACCTCAATCAAACTCCTGACAGGTAGCATGGTCACTGCATTTATTTCCCTTGTCGTCAATTTCAGCAAATAGGCTGGGAATGGCAGAGGCTGTCTGCTTGTCACACGCATGAGGTCTTACAAGGTCAGCCACAACAGAGGGCACATCAATCAGACTTTGAGGGGAAGCAACTAAAGTTAATGCTTAGGTCACCACTGGCACGTTCACTGCAAGCTTTACCCACTGCTGTTCAAACTGTGAGGCAATTTTATCATCATCCAGACTCTACCAACAGTTCACTATGATACAGATTGTGTTATATCACAGAGAATGCACTTGAAAGATACTTGGTGTGAAAACCCTGCCTTACCCGAGTTTGAGATATTCTGATCCAGCCAGCAGTGCACAACATGTCCAGCGAGCCAATTTGTAGCTGTTGTTTTTCAGCTCTGTGGCAATCACAGCTCCTCTCTGTGAGTCAAGCTTCTGGCGCCAGTCTACTCCATTGCAGTACTAAGAGGAGAATCAAAAGCAGGGTGAACCTAACAAGCCAGCAGCAATTATCTCTTCAGCCATTGCACGGGGAAGCTCCTCCTATCTAAACTATGATACCGTAACTAGGGAATGCAAATCTCTACTTGCAGAGAGAGCCCCTGCGCTGCAAAGGGAGAAACGCAGTAGCAATGGCTAGGAGAGCATGTCTGCTAGGGATGGTTAATGAGGGCAGCACTGATAAAGATACGCTACTGCACAGAGCACCTGGGAACAAGAATAGGGTTCAAATCAACTACCTCATGCCTGGGTGAGGCTTAATAACAGTGCTAGTCCATCAAAGCTATGCATCTTTGATGGAAGGCAACTCAGGGGACACCACTAGATGTTTGTCTCATCTTGCCTGCTATACCTGGCATGTCAGGCAGCAGTGAAGCAGTTAGAGCTAGCTTTGGGATCTTGTTCTTCCTCACCCTGGAATCCCATTCGTTCAGAGTTTTGATGTTGATGAATGACACTTCGCCGTTAGCTCCCGTCATCACTCCGTCATGCTCACAGCGGACAATGAGATCTATGTCATCTCCCAGCTTCCACCTTCGGTACCTGCAAACACAGTCCAGATCGTTATTTCTGACCCTGGTTCTTCTCCAGACCTTTCCAAGTACTCAGCAAAATCCTTTCATCCTTTATCTGTTCATTGGTTTTGATTGTTTGGTTTTTTTTTCCCTGCAAACCACATTGACCTCCTGCACCCTTGTCAAAGCTGGGAATAAGAGATACATCAGCATACCTGTAAGCAACAGAAGCTACTTCGTTCTTATCCATGTCATCCTCCACAAAGGGGTTTGGGTTGGGAAATTTGTATTTCTCCTTTCCCTGTATACGGAAACAGAAACAAGCACAAGAACAAAACAAAACTTAGAACTCTCCTCTTGGATGAATATTCTGTTATAGCAACCACAGCTGACTTCCCTTACACAGAAAAGACACTCAAATAATTAAGACAACTGATGCAAATCCTCATTTCCATGGTAACCACTTTCTTGTAATCATTGGTCCTCTTAGCACTTCAGCTTTAATAAACATACTCAGAAGCTTGCCCACTTTACCAACAGGAGTGGGATTTCCTCTTTGTAAAATAAAGGTGAAAATCATTTTATACAATGAGTCACTTTGCTCACCATAAGGAATCCCACCTGTTTCAAGCTGACGTAACACCAATACAAACTACCTTTACCAATTTAAACACTTCCGTGCTGAGCAGCTACATTAAGCAAGTCTGAATAAAGTCTTATTTCCAGACTCTTCACAACTCAGACCCTACTGCCCAGGACTGCTTGGCCTTACCATCCTCAGACACTGCTGGGAGAAGTTATGGTTGATGTAAGTTGCTTCCATGGCAAGGTTGCGTGGAGAATTAAAGGAGTTGCCCTCTTCCTGCGGTGGTTCATTAGCTGTTTCACTCACTGTCAGTAGATCTGAGAAAAAAAAAAAACAAAAACAGTCACAAGCTGTTATTATACCTAGAGAGAACTTCTATCAGCTTCAATGAATCTCTACCACCCGTGCCGAAGCAGATCAATGCTGAAAGTACTCTCACAGTCAGCAATATATTGCAGCAATCAGTTTGCTCCAGGTATCTCAGTCTTGGCACTGAGACATAGAATAAATTAAAAAAAAACAAAACAAAAAAACAAAAAAACCCCACCACCACAAAAGCATACAGGAAACAGATTAGCAACAAATAATAAATTTCTTTCAAGAATTTTCCTCACCAAAATCTGAATTGTCCCTCTTGTCAAAGAAAAGCTTGGATCCAACTCTCTGGACAATGATGTCCCAGGAATACACAGAGCGAGTGCAACTCATCAGTGTGGCCAGGATGGCATCTGTGGCAAACACATTCCCTTGAGTCTTGGCCAGCTATGGATACAGAAAACATTATGTTTCAGCAGCACTTACAGACATACCTTTCCTTTCCCAGCCAAGATCAGAAGTGTTAGCAAACCAGATCGTGAATTTTTTCTTCCATACTGAGAAAGACAGATTGCTGGGTACACCACCGACAGCTAAGCCAAGTATGGAGTACTACCTAGCAATCCAAGCACACTCCTGCTCAGACAAGCAAAAAGAAACCTACTACAAAACGCAAATCTGCTGTTGAAGGACTTGGTTCTTACTGCTGAAAGAATCATAAAGGGCAGTCCCTGAGCCTCCCTCATGTCCAAAAAGCAGAAAACTCTAGAAGCAGGTTTTCAACACTGAAGTTCCTTTTCCTGCACTGTTCAAGTACTGGTTTGCCTTTCCTTGGCCAGTATTCCCAGTTTTGCCTTGACCTAGCTTTACCTTAGGTCTAAGGAAAGTACCAAGGTAATACTTTGTTTCCACTTTGCAAGCTGAGAGATGTGGATTTTTCCTGTTTGTCTTTGGTCTGACAGTGACAGGCCTTAAACAACAGCACGCAATGAAAAGCACACCCTTGGATTTGGCAAACCAGTGAACACACCTTTCGGATAACTGGGTCATCAGTAGTAGTGACCGTATGGAAGATACGCTTAATGCTCCTCAGCAGCTTCTCATTCCTCGTTGTAATGCGGTCGAAGGCTTTGTCATAGTATTCCAGGGCTCCACAGCACTCTCTATGGAGAGAAAGGGAGGATGAGCTTGATCACACAAATACCTCCACTGACAAACCACAAAGGACTGAGGGAATGATAGGGCATTCTACCACTCCCAGCTTTGGATGCTTCGCTAGGAACAGTGGGACCAACCCAAGAGACCCCTTGCTCTCCTGCTGTCCAAAAATTTGGTCTATTCAGG